AGAAATAATTAAATATATATTTCAGAAATAAATGTCCTTTTGCTTTTATTGTAATGATAATCGCCATGTCTTTCTATAAGCCTACTATTTATGTATTCAGACTTCCATTTAAAACTCCCTTAATGAAGTCAAATAATGCCTTCTTAGTCAACATGCAAAAATGGTTTGTTACCATGCAGGGGATTCTTACTCCTCCATGTCCGTATTTGTTCTGCTCTAATTTTCTATTGTTTTGTGGACTTTCAGATTGAAGACAGTTCGTTATCTCCACATCCTTTCTACTACTTAGTCATCCGCAAAAAAGGCAACTTGATTTTATCATTTTTTTTTTGTTCTCCTTTTTTTATATTTGTATAAATCATACATATATTTTAATAGGCTTTTGGAACAGATGATATTTATGGCACAAAATGGTTATCATCATAATAAAATTGCCAACTATTTGATCAATTAGATAATACTTATATAATATCAATGCAATTTGTTTGTTGTTATGTAGTGTTATTTAAATGTAATATTTATGAAAACTAAATTCTCTTGAAGAGGTTGGATACATTTGCTAACTAAGACTCATTAAATCCTTTTAGTGTGTTGTGAATTAATATTTTTTAACATACGAATGACGTAAACAAGTCATTTTCAAACTCAACACATGGTTAAACACAATATTTAAAACATTGATTATTGTTTGATAGCTGACTTAGAATTTCGTTAAATGCCTAAACTTATCTTATATTAATGCTGACCAATAACTTGTGACATCATGCGTGCACCTTTAGAGAAATAGATCTGTACAGTAAAAGACATTTTCCTTTTTAGTGTTAAATAATTCAGAGGTGAAAAAGAATTAGATAGACTAGAAACGAGAGGTCTTCCGTCCGATTCTGGAAAATAATCCCGTAAAATCAACCTGAAAATTGGTTAAAAATTTTGACTCACGGGTGATTGAACCTGGTTGACCAGCGTGAATATCCAACAAGCTATCCATTACCCAATTTGGAGCTCTGCTCTAAATGTACTTGTGTATACTTCTACAACTGAACATCTGTCTGAGAATTATCTAAAGACGGGTCACTATTCATAATTTTGCGCAAATGCCGTGAGTAAATATTCGCGTCCTTTCCTTGGAGTCTTCTATTATTGTAAATAGGTAAAATTGCTTCAATGAAATTTTAAAAAAATATAACGTTCTTATCGCCTATATCTTATTTTGAGTTTTAGAAAGTATATTTAACACATTGAACACATTAAATATCGTGTCTAGCCAAGTTAGACTAAAGCAGAAACTCCCAAAGTGAATTGTTTGTTTAATTAAAGTTGCATTAAAATAAATGTGTCTTTCAGAACTACCGATATGTGTTAATTTGTGTCCTTTTCTTTCGCTTTCACTTTCAGTCAATCTTGAAAACTATAACGGATCTAAATGTCAATTGGCGTTAAATGCTTAAATCATATATGCAGACACACTTCAAATTTAAGATTTCTAAATACACAAGATACACTTACTGGCATTGTTACAATCCTTTTTCCTAAATTCGGATCTAACTTTCATGAGGGTTTCTTGCTGATTGACTTCACTTTGATATCGTTCTCATCTCTTGTTTATTTTATTTCTGGGAGGGGGGCAGGATTTAGCTGTCTATTATCTTTACATTATAATTTAGTTCAAACTCTTAAAACTCTTAAAACTATTCTTATTAATATATCAAAACTAGACAGCAATTTCTAGTCTGATATTCTTCCTCATAACACCCTGTACAATATTAAGGATATCGCTTTTATAATTTATAGTTTACAAGAAAAAAAATTTTCATGTTGTACCCCGTTTTGAGAACAGCTGAAATTATGAAGTAACTGATTAAAAATCGTCAGTTTTTTAATGGTATATTATAATTTTTCGAAAACTTTGCAACATTGTTACATTCAAATTAATCGCGTAATAATACAACTGTAGTCACGGAAGTAATGATAATCGAGGGAAGGAAATAACTGATATATATATATATATATAGATCCAGCAGCCATAATATCTGTTTTCATTAGGTTAGATCGAGCTACTGTTTAGTGTCAAAGGTAGATTTATTACAACTGGAATTTTCCATGGATTCCGAGGACTGGAAATAAGGAGAATGCATAAATAAGATAACTTAGCGGGTCGTCAAGGGGTAGTATCCCCATATCAAACTAGATTATACAAAATTTGTGTTCCTTTTTGAAAATCAACCAAAGAGGGGCGAAAATACAAACAAAATTAAATTATAAGCAAACAAAGTATCATTGGACCATGTTTTGCTGACGTGATTCACACAACTTGTGCGGTTTAAAAAAAAAAAAAAAAAAAAATACATTTCGAATACTAAATGCAACCTGTTTTTGATTGATCTTAAAGCTCAAAGAGAATTGGGTTGCTCAGTGGGGACCGGCATCTCATCATACCTCTGGTATTTCTTAAGATTTGTGTTTTATTCTTTCTTTACAGCTTTTGTACATGTTGTAAATTATTTTTGTAAGATCGACCACCTTCACAAGATGAAACACACCCTTTAAGTCCGGTTTAATGGTGGCTTATAGGTCCTTAATGGTGGTTTAATGGTTGTCTTTAAGTCACCATTAAGTCACCATTAAGCACCTTTAAGTAACATTTACACCACCATTAAGTTACCATTAAGCCAACTCAAAGTCCTTAATGGGTGCTTAAATGTAGCTTAATGGTAGCTTAATGGTGGCTTACAGGTCCTTAATGGTAACTTTTGGACCACCATTAAGTCACCATTAAGCTACCATTAAGCTAGACTTACAGGTGTTTAATGGCCAAACTCCATTAAGACACCATTAAGCTACCATTAAGCCACCATTAAGCCACCATTAAGTCACATTACGCAGTCGATAATATTGTTTATATGGGTGAAAAATTATTTTTATAGTGATTTGTTATCAATATTATAAATGTAGAGTTCGCATATATCTTGATTTGGTAAAAATAATGAAAAAGAACGAAATTCAAAATTCAAAAATTAAAAAAAACGCCACAGTCGGGGCGCGATCCCATGACGAACATGGCGAACGCCTTATCCATTAGGCTATCGCCGCTCTTGATAATTTAAGGAAAATATTAAATATTTAACCTTTATTTTTTCAAAATTTGTTTGGACTTGTAAAGGTATTTACTAGTATTTTGTTGAACATTTCCAAAAGTCTTAAATTGATTTATTAATAAAAATATAAACAATTTTATTTGTGGATCTTTTTGAAAGGCTTATAACACATTAATATTTCTACACTGAGTTCGGCTTTTAGATTGATGTAATGTGATTGAGTTCTTCGCTCTGTTATTCGAAAATTTTCGAAATGTAAGCATTAAATAATGATTGAAAATAAATTAATTATAGATAAAACACAAAAATCTATCATCGAAAAAGAAAAAGGAAAAAACAGATTCTAGTATTATTTTTAATATACTGCGGATATTAACGGTTTCTGTGTCAACAATTTAATGACAATCCTCGCGAAAGAGTTACCTGGTTAATTACGTTTACAAAAACTTTTTTTAGAATATCATATTCAGTTTCAATTCTATTTGTATCATAATGGGTATCAAAATAATTGACATTTTACAATGAATCATAATTTTTAATTTGTTATATGCTTGCGTTAAATTTAAATTTTGTAAAAATAATTGATCATTAAAATCTGTCAGTGTACGTTGTGTATGTATAGTTTCTTGTTAGTTAACCGGGGACGGGGGGACACCTAGTTAAGGTCTATTGTCTGACCAGTCGATTTACTATACATTGATCATCTGTTAATCTTACCCCGTTTCGCAATGTGTATACATCTGTCGCATGTCATGTTTAGTCTGATCGGCCGTTCCTCTGAAAATCGATTTTGAAATAACAATCATTAAAGACCGACTAGATTTTGACAGATACTTACCGCTGCATTATTAAAAAAAAATAACGAATTAATTAGAATTATTCATGATGTAAAAGCCATTAAAAAGTTTTTCATGGTAAAAGTCAATCTTTGAAAACTAAACATTTGTATACCAGTAGCCCCCCCCCCCCCAAAAAAAAAGGACAGAGATTTTTTTTTTTATGAGATTATATAGTTATATTCCTGTGAATTCTGTAGCGGAATGTTTCTTTTAACACATGAAATAAAAATACCATTTTGTTTTTAAAAAGTAATATATATTTTGTGTTCATGAATATAGATAATTTTAAGAACAAATTGATTTTTGGTATTGTAAATTTAAGATATTTCACAAGGACTTGCTCACGGTGTGTAATAATTATTTATTTTTAAAAATCATATACACTAAAAATAAAAACAACGCATGTAATAATGATTTATTTAAAAAAAATAATATACGGTTCTGATACAGGATGTCTTGTTTTATTATCACTGTAAATGATTTAAAAAAAAAAATAAATAGACACCTCGAGCAAGCCCCTGTGGCTATTAGCTAACTTTGTTCCCAGTGATCAAGTTTATGCATGATGACAAAAAACTCGTAGAAATTATGATCGAGACAAAATTATGAGTTGGAATAGATTTTGCGTAAATGATATTAAAGTAACTAAAAGTTAGTTCAAAGATTCTATATAAGATGCGTAAAAGTTTAATGAGGGTTGACCATTAAGTCACCATTAAGCTCAGCTTAATGGTGGCTTAATGGTAGCTTAATGAAGTTTGGACATTAAGCACCTGTAAGTTGCAGCTTAATGGTGGCTGAATGGTGGCTTAAAGGAATTAACTTCTTTAAGCCAAAATTAAGTCACCATTAAGCTACCATTAAACGATTGCTTAAAGGTGGTCTTTCGTCTTGTGCTTCTTTTTCTTTAACTCTTATCAATAAAGATTCTCTGTGTCTAGACCCACGACATCTACATCGATCAACTCTTTACTCGGCAAATCAAGAAAATATGCTTTTGCTAAAGTATATATACCAGGGGACCGACAAAAACTAAGTAAAATAAAATCTTAGATTACTCCCCTCTCACTGCTTTATTTCATTCTATCCTAGCAAGTTGTTTGACAGAGTCACTAATTTTATATCTAAAAAAGGAAAGAAAAATGAGTTAGAAACAGGAAAGTTAAATAATGATTTTCTGTCTAATAGCTCCTTTGTAAATATTGTACCTTGACATGATTGAGTGTTGCATGCCTCTGTTTGAACTGATTGACCAGAGCATTGAAGCCCTCCATAAGAAGGAAGAGGGTCGTCACATCTTCTCATTCTGATATGAATTCCCCCACCACATGGCATGTCACATGGCCGGAAGTGACCCCATTGACCCCGATTACCGTTCACTACAATTGTTGATCATTTATTTGTATTACAGTTTTAAAATGAAAATAATAATTACAATTAAAGATGGAAAAGTACAAAAAAAGAAAGCAAACAATAAATATGAAAATAAATAACAATGATAAATTTTTTTCAGGGAGGAAAAAGAAAACCTGGACAATGCCTGAGGTTGCACGGTTGGCTCTCCTTAAACCTTCCTGTGCAGTTATAACCTCCATATTCAGGTGCAAGATTAGAACAGTTTCTAATCCTTATCTGAACACCTGCCCCGCAACTACTACTACACTGTCCAAATCCTGACCAAGCTGACCATTGTCCATCAACTACAAATCAGTAGTACACGTTCAAGTCAGTACTATAGTTATGGATGTACCGCAGCCTTTTTCAACTTTTGCTTGCGATGACGAACAGTATTCAAGCTTAAAGTCCATCTAAACAATACAAATCAGGAGCAGAGCAAACACGTGCACGGACCTCCAAAACATCAGAGGTGGGATCAAGAACATTGGAGGAGGGAGTATCACCCTGCCCACTTTTCACAAACGTTGCGTGCTTCTCGTAATAATCAGGAAAAATAAAAAAAAAGAAATCCGTATCCAATTTAGTATGCAAATTATCGCCTAATAGACAGTATGAAAAACATCATTCTGCATTTGGCTTTAAGATAGTTTGTACTTGCTGTCAAGTTTATTGTAAGGACCTTGAAACTTGTGCTAAATGGCTTCATATAGGCTTGGCGTCATGATTTGAAAGACACAGATACGATTATGCTTCCCAGAGAATATTTAAAAGTGTATTCTCTGTATGCACTTCTCTGAACTACAAATGTATGACATCATAATTGAAAATGACGTCAAGTCACTTCAAACTCGAACTGTAATAATGGGGAGAGTGTCATAAACCTTACATCGTATTTCAGTCTGCATATAAAGATGCAGAAAGCAAGTTTAAAAAAAAAACGTGTTTTAAATTTTCTTTTAAAAAATCTAATATTTCCGAATAATTTAGATGACTTTGCTTTATTAATCTTGTGTAAAAGTCAGCGTGTTTAAAGTACACAGGAAAATATACTTTTGACATTTTTTTTTTTTAATCCAGTGGATGGAGGCAGAGTTCATAATATGCGTATAAAAGAGCCTAGCAGTCTTAACGAATCAAATATTATTCTATCTCAGCCACTGCCACATATGTAATCCATTCCTATGAGGAATTCATCAAGTATTGTGCAGTGTAATGAATCAAAAGAATGTAGCAAGTGTGGTGATTCTTCTCTGCGTGTGGAGGAACTTTCGTTAGCGGTTCATCGCCTAACACAAGAAGTTGAGTCATTAAAAAAAGAAACTGGGTGAAAATGTACAGAAAAGCTTAACCAGTTCAAGTACTAAAACAATTCCGAAAGTCTTCAAGAATATGGGCAATTGTACCGATGATCTGCCGAAGGGATCCCAAAACGTCACTTCTAGACATGTGCAGTGTGAAAATGTTCTTTCGGAAACATCAAAAAATGAATGTTCAACAAATACAGAACCAGAATCACATGTGTACAAAAAACCAAGAAAGAATTCCCTTCAAAGACCTACACCTAATTCTGAGCAAATTGAGAAATCAACACTCATCATTGGCAGTTCAATTCTGCAAAGAATAAAAACCTGTGGGTTAAATTCAAATGTTCGTGTTAGTACTAATAGAGGAGCCAGTATCTCATTTATTCTTTAAAAATTACGACAATACGATGTATCTTCTAAGGAAAATATCATTATCCAGGCTGGAGAAAACGATGTATCAAATCAGCGCGATATGGAAGCAATAGAAAATGACCTTTGCGAAATAGTAACAGATCTACGAAAGAGAAATTCAAACATTCGTGTTTTTGTATCTGAAGTCATGCCAAGAAAAGATGCAATGGTCACCGGTGTGAATGATATCATCCGCTTTGTGTGTGAAGAATACGGTGTAACAGTTCTTAAATCAAGTCAGATTTTTAACAACTGGAATTCCTCATTGTACTGGAAGGACGGCATACATTTGTCAGACAAAGGAACCGCCTCTCTGCTGAAACTTTACAATAAACATGTCTCAATTCTAAAGCAGAATCAGATGCAATCTCCACCTGTGTCCATGAAGTCTACATCCTGCTACTACTATGGAGAACAAGGCCATTCATCCCGGAACTGTAGACATGGTAGCAAAGTAGACTGTAGGGTATTAATGAGGACTTATTTTGATTCTTTTGTGAAATTCTGCAAAAGAAGTCTCCTCTATAACTTTGACTGAATCTTGCTTGGGAAAAATGTATGATGGCTTTGGTTTAAAACAGATGACGATATTGAGTGTAAAATACCCTCAGATTTGTCGGTAAGTTGAAGTTAATTTGAAATATTTTGTACCAGAGTAATAGTATACTTTTTTCCCAAGGACAATTCGGGTTCACAGGGATGCAACGAGTTTAATTACGTGACAAAAAGTTAATAATAATTGTGGTAATCGGTTGCGCCAAAGCGATTTACGTCAAACACTTAAAACAAGAAGAAATGACCGTAACGTGATCAACGAAGTTATGTGATATCGTAACTAATTTGTTTATATATAGCCTAGAGAACTCTCTACATGAATTAGGCGTACTTCGGTACATAACTTATAAATAAAACTCAAAATGAACTTTGCAATGAAGTGTTACGTTTTAAATGCATCTATCGAGGCCGAGTCTAATTATTTCTGCCCTAGGGATTTTGATAATTTTTTGATGATAAATTTTTGCTGTGGTATTTCTTGTTTTAAGATTAAAAAATCGAATATTTACCATCCTGATTTCTTTCGGGGACATCTCAAAAGTTGTCAGTTTTTACTATTGGGCCCTATGGGAATTCGCTGGAAAAGCGCCAAATTATCACATTTTCCCCAGATTTTTTGTATTTCTTCCCTAGGTTTTTTTTTTCACTCAAGTTATTGAAAGTTATTGTAAAAAGTCACAAAATTGTGAAATTTCAAAAAAGTTCACAAACTAGATTGGTCGAGGAATTATTTACTAAAGAACTTTATTCGGTAATAACCGATATTTGCCCCCAAACCAAAATTTGATGGAGAAATACTTAATTATGTTCTTAAATAGGGGGTATATGCTAATTTCAACGCACTGAATATTTTCATAAGTAATGACGTCATATGTACGAAATGACGTCACAAACATGACGTAAATTTCAGTTTTTTATGAATTCTACAGAAAAATGTACATATTTCGTCGATATTTTGAGTAAAAGTCACCGGGCGCATGTGTGTTGAGGCTCAATATTTTGATATAATGTGTAGAATGATAATATCAATGAAATATGTAAATATTGTTCCTGAACAAACTTGCGCTCTAGAAATTTTAAAGCTAAAATTGTTGAAATTTTGACCATTTTGTCCTCTTTCTGAAAAAGGATACAAAATCGGACTAGTTTGTGACGTCATAAAAACAAAAGTTGTGAATTAACTACTTTGAAACAATTATATGTTCTGTTAACTTATATTTCTCATACAATTTATTGAATTCAGCACATTTCAGGAAGATTTCAAAATTTGACTTTTGTGGGGGGCAAAGAAATGCAATATACCGCTTATAGTTCTTTATTTTTTCAAAGCCCAATACCTCTAAAATTGCCATATTACGGTATAAATAAATATCAGTGCAGAAGAATTATCGGCGTATATTATTTTTTCCTTAAAAATAATAATGTTCAGATGTTTCTTTAGATGTTCTGTCATAAGTTTTTAGTAAATTTCCATGGACGTCTTGAAAATACAAGCGAGTCATGCGTCATTCTTCAACGTCATGAATTGCTTACAAAATCCAAAAATGGTGACGTCGTTAGAGACATTTCAGCATTTTTTTCTATTTATTGTCGTAAAATCACATTTCCAGACCAGTAGGAGTTACATATTATATTGATTTTTTATTAAAATTAAAATATTTGGCAAAGGTGTACTGTAGCACAAATGACTGCTTCAAATTAAAAAGCTGCGCAAAGTCATGCGCACTCGAATTAGACTAGGCCTCGTTAAAGCTCCGGGAAGCCTTAACAATACTGCGGATAACAAAGAATACGCAACTTAAAAACAAGAAGAAATGACCCTAACGTGATCAACGAAGTCATTTGATATCGTAACTAATATGTTTATATAAAGCTTAGAGAACTCTCTACATGAATTGGGCGTACTTCGGTACATAACTTATAAATAAAACTCAAAATGAACTTTGCAATGACGTGTTACGTTTTAAATGCATTTAAAGCTCCGGAAAGCCTTAACAATACTGCGGATAACAAAGAATACGATTAATTGTTTAGGTAAAATTGTGTCCGTCCCTTGTGACATTTCAGAACTGTTGTATTATATACTTACATAAATTCTTTTTGCCAATTTAATGTTTTATTACGCATAGTTTGCAACTTAAAATCAAAATCTTCCTATAAAAGGAATATATGTACTTAGTATGTTTATATTCTTTTAAAAAACGTTGATAGTTGTTTATCTTCATACCAGGGCAAGGGAACGTATTGCACCCCACTGCTTCCTATGAATCACCGATGCAAGGAAGACCACCATGTGCCGATTGAGGATTACTGCACTTTCTGAATCTGATTTTCCAGCCGTTCCCGCACGTTTTATCACAGGGACTGTAGTTACCCCATGAACTCCACGATCCATTTACTGGAAACAAGGGAAAACCAAAATAAACATTTAAATTAAATTAAGTGTTATTGTAGTATAAACCTTTTCTTCCTTTACCTGGACAAGGGCTTGGATGACAGGTCCTTGATTCTGATGACGAACCAGAACAGGATCCGTCACAGCTCCTATGTCTTTGTTGGGAACCGTTACCACAGGTTACAGTACAAGATGTCCATTCTCCCCAAGGCGAAAAGGTATTACTGTAATGATGTGAACTCCCACTAGAACTTGCTAGAATATTGAAAGAAAATAATAGGATTTGAATCAGAAATATTATAACTGACAAAAACTCGTAATAAACAGTAAAATACGTAATGCAAAAGCAGTCTATATGCCTAATTTAGGTTTGTCTTTTTACTTTCTCAGCGTATCGAAAAAATGCATTTCAAATCAATATTTTTACACAATTGTGATACGTTTCAGATCTTTCATAACTGAAAAATGTACCTATTGATTTCATATAAACGAGGTAAAATTATCCTCTCATGCTCTCATTTTTATTGCTTTAGATATAAAATGATAGCTCTAATAGAAAAGTCTAATTGTAAATGTAATTGGCAGGATAAAGAAAAATAAAATGGTAATTTTATGCTGGCTTATCTTTTTTTATCATTGTCAAAACTTGAATTCTCTATTGCATGAGAATGTATGTAAAATTCAGATTATGTTTTTTAAACCCGTAAAGAATTGAGTGAAGAAGTTATATAGAAGTTAGTA